TTTATATAAGGTCATTAAGGTCCCTTAGCCGAAGGCGCGTGTGCGGATGAACGTGCATAAGTCATCATTAAATGCACTTAAAATCCGAAATGAAATGGGTGTCGTATTAATATGTTGAAAGGCTATGATTTAGTGCGCTTAATTGATGGAGCGGAGTTATTATTTGACAGCTGTCATGGGTGCATATCGTGGCAAATCAATGCCAATTAATAATGATACTGTTTTTGTGAACGCAGAAGGTTTTTTAAATCACTTTTTGACATCAAGACACCTCCTTTAATCTCTATGTTATTGGAACACATAACGATTTGATTTGTCAGGATTTTCAGGGTCTAGTTTTATCGTAAAACTTCACTTGAGGAAGACATGATTAACGTTTTGGAATTTACTTTCACACTTACTACCTCGAAATACATATGATATAGCTTTCTAAGAAATATATTTCTCTTCTAAAACATTTTAAAATTGTTTCGTTATTTTTTCCATAAAAAAATCGCTCCTCAGGCGCTTAGAGCTTGAAATCTTTCACAAATTATTATAGTACTTAAAATTTTCAGTGAAGTCTCAATAGTCAAGGAACGTCAACGAGTACCCGAAATTCTCAATGTAGAAATATATATAGAGGCCTATATTACATAAAGATAGATAGATCAAGCGTGGAAGAGGTAGAACGAGACTGAGAAAGAGGAAAATAGAAAGAGATAAGGTGAGATAATCTTGACAAAACCAACCTGAATACAAATGCCTTCAAAAGCAGTCCATTTTTAGGCTAGACCAAATTGTCTTGTTGATGGAACTGGAATTTTTTACTTCCAGTTATGTAATGATATTATTGAAAAATAAGGAGACAAAAAATTTTACATCGCAAAAATTACGGTGTCTTCACGGCATAAAAGGCTCGTTTACCCCAAATTTCGTGAAATATTTTTTTTTAGGAGAAGATACAAATAAAAAAGTAAGGAAGAGCTAAGTTCGGATGTAACCGAACATTTTATACTCTCGCAAAGTTAAACGGTATACTCGTTTGAGATTCCGTTATCTACCAGAGATAAAATTTAATGTCTTTGGCGTGTTTAGTGCTTGTTTTCTCGCGCTTTTAGTAGTTTTTAACAGTACCGTTATATGGGGAGTGGGTGGGGTTGCCACCCGATTTCAACTATTTTCACACTGTAGGTAGAAGTTCTAAAAGCATTTGCTTTCAGTAAATTTTGTTATTATAACATTAGCGGTTTAGGAGATATGCACATTAAACCTATTAGGGGCGGGACCACGCCCACTTAAAAAAAAAAAGTTTAACTGCAGATGCCCCTCCCTATTATGATCCTGTGTACCAAATAACAGTCTTGTATCTTATTGCGAAGCTTAGTTTTGGTAATTTATTTGTTTTTGATATATGGCGTTTTGTGGGCGTGGCAGAGGTCCGATTACGCCCATCTGCAATACCAACCGTCTCACGGTACCAAGAAACATGTCTACCAAGTTTCATAAAGATATCTCAATTTTTACTCAAGTTACAGCTTGCACAGACGGACGGACGGACGGACAGACAGTCACCCGGATTTCAACTCGTCTCTTCATCCTGTTCATTTATATATATAATATATAACTCTACATCTAACTTGATTAGTTTTAGGTGATACATACAACCGTTAGGTGAACAAAAGTATTATACGCTGTAGCAAAATGTTGCGAGAGTATAAAAACCAAACATTAGTTATTAAAATTTTCCACATAAATTTTGCAGGTATGTGTAAATACTGCCTGACGAACTGTATCGATTTAGCCATGTCCGCCTGGCCATCTCCTGTATATACATATGTCATATATCTATTTTTGAGATATCTGTCTGAAATTTTGTACTCATCCTTCTCTTTTTAAGAAGTTGTACATTTGTGGGAACCGCTGCCATACAAATTGATCAATCAAAATAACGCCTTGTATGGAAAACTTTTTTATTTGACGAGGTATCTTTACAAAATTTGGCATGGATTATTATCCAGAGTATAGGTACAATATTCGAAGAAATTTTTCAGATCGGGTTACTATAGCCTATAGCTGATATACAAACTGTTCGTCAAAATCAAGTTCTTGTTTGAAAAAATTTATATTTGACTAGATATCCTCATGAAATTTGGCATAAGCTATTTTTAAAAACAATGGCACAATCTTCGAAGAATATGTGCCGTACAGACTGATTGATCAAAATCCAATGCTGGTTTGGTACACTTTCTTATTTGACGAAGTATTCTCACGAAATTTGGACTGATTATTATCCACGGTAACTGTAAAATCTGCGACATACAAATTTATTTTGGCATTGACAGTAAGTCCATAAAATATCATAGTTTGCATATATTCCTTAGTGCATATTGTTAAAATTTTGGCCTGTTCATTTTAGTTTGTGTTTCTATAAGTCTAAAACTCATAATTTGCGTTAAAAACTTTGTAAAAATATTGTTATTTTTACTTTTTTTTTTGGCACATAGGTATGACCAGAAGCTAAATGATGAATAATTAATAAAACACCATGTCGTATACGTAACTTTTTCATGAAATTTTCTATGACATTCAACTACCGGAAATAAATAAATATAATATGAGCATTATGTTTAAAAAAAGAAAAAAACTGTGTATGTATATGTGTACAGTTAGTTACTATGATGGAAGTTTTGATTAATGACGGTACGTTGGCGTTTTAGTTAGCTGCCTGCTGGGCGTCTCAAATGTGTCATGTCTGCATAAGCGAAACATGAACATGAACATGAAATTGTTTAATTACGTGGCAAGTAGTGGCAACAGCATTAACTGGCACATTCAGCAAAACGCTAAAACCGCATCAAACAATAGCCGATGACGCCACCACGACAACTATGTTGCCCAAACATATAAAAGCTGTCAGCAAAGGAACACTAGCAAATAAGCAACGATAGTGACCAGCTCGAAAGCTCGAAAATTGTGCAGACGGTGATGTAGTCGAGCAAACACAGCATACAGTTAGCAATATGAACAGTTATGACATTTGCTAAATTAATCAAAATGCCATGCTAGCGATTGCGAAAGGACTGTGTGCAGTGTTAACTGCAATTGCCATTGCCAATTGCAACACCTGTGTGGCATCAACTGTATGTAACTGTATCGATCACATTGCGCGCGTCAGCGCCGCAACATATTCATAAATGCACAAAATCTGTAAGTCTCAAAAAAGAAATACACACACACACAAATAATATCGATGTACGCGGACCATTTCACACCTTGGGCGCTGGAAGTGCACGCACCAGCTTGGGCTGCATGGCTGGGCGAACATATACTGTGCTAATGAAACTTGA